GATTGATCCTTGGCCTGGACACCTTCCATGGAGTGCCCAGTGTTCCCACATTGGGTATGAGGCCAGTAATCAGATGCAGTGGCGTTCTTACTGTGAGGGTTGTAAGGATCTTTCTTCCTTGGGAACCCTACTGTCCGCCCTTTTTCACTATCATTAGTGAACAAGGCCGTGGTAGCTTCTACGAACCGGGTCCACTTTAGAGACTTTTCAAGATCATCCATTACTTTTTCTAGATTGACTTGGAGGAGCTCGTTTTTTTTAATTTCAGCACTCATCCTACATCTTAAGGCCTTCACCTCATCTTCAAGTCTAGAATATTCCTCACTCACTATCTCCACTCCTCTTTCAGAGCTTTCAGGTTTGACTCAATCAAAGGCTTTGCTATTAGTTCCCTTTGGTCAGAAGTTTCTGCCAAGAGATCACTCTTTTCTTTTCTAAGAGTTTCAATGGCTTTCGTTTGATCAGTAATTACAGCAACTAAGTCTTTTCTAATATGTTCAGATTCTTCTATTTCTAAGGAACAAGGAATCCCTATCCTCCGCAAGACTACAAAAGGCAGTAATTAAAACATTAGCTAAACACATGAGTTTTTTTGGAGAATAGGATTTCAGATTTTTCTGAACATCCCTGAAGGTTACCTCTTCGTTGCCATTGTCTTCATCATTGTCTGATTGAGCCATCAAAGCAAGCGTTGAGTCATATTCAATCTCCTCGCCTTCAATTGCCATCGTGGAACTATCATCAGTGTTAGATTTTTCTAGTTTTGCTTGTATAGTTCCCTCATAAGCTGTTTTTAAAGCCTCCCATATTTCCTTGGCAGTGTCGCATGTAGAGATTCTGTCGTACTCTTTAGGTTCCAATCCATCTACCAGGATTTTCTTGGCACGAAAATTCTTCTCCATCGCTTCTTTGCCTGCTTCGGTGTATTCTTCAGTGGTCCTTTTTACAAAAAAAGGAATTTCATTTTGTACCTTGATTGGAACAAACGGACCATCGCAGATAACATCCCAAAGCTCGCAATCCTCAGCCATGATGAAATTATGCATTCTAGCTTTCCACCACCAATAGTGTTTTCCATCAAACTTGGGTAGGTGGTATATGGATTGTCCTTCTTCAAAATTTAGTGGAGCCGTCATGAGGATCCTTCCTAGGTGTTAACCCGATAGGAGAAACCCGCTCTGATACCAATTGTTAGCTTGTATGGGCCCACCAAATCGTAGAGTACCGGTCCTCTACAAGTTTCTGCTGAGAGCACTTGGTAAGGCAGTAAGTAAATGAGGCAGAGGATTTTTTTTACGTGGAAAAATACCGCACAAGGGGATCAAAAAATCACGACCTACCCTGTAGGCTTTTAACTTCACTAACTTGTAATCTTACCTATTACAAGCCACTTTACAATGCTTCCAATTGTAAAGACTTCAAACTAACTTGTGGCACCTTTACCACAAGCCACTTTGTGACTATCCTTGTTACAAAGGCTTTTTCTAACTTGTGGTGCTATCACCACAAGCCACTTTGCAATACTACGATTACAAAGACTTTTCTTTATGACTAATCTAGCCACAACCTAAACTTCAATGAGTCTGAGGATTTACAAGAGAGTTCCTAATCAGTAAACTTCTAAGTAAGAAATTTAGGAGATATTGTAAGTGCAATAACAAGGTTACAACTCAACTAGGACAACAATAATCGATCGTTTTGGAACTGGTCCGTAGTGGCGTTCAACCTTGTTCTTCAAGCTTGAGAGAATGATCTTTTCTGTTTTTGCTGAAGGCTTGAATGAATGAAACTGAAACCATTCAGTGATGTTTTGTATAAAAACCCTTTAGTACATCTTGGTCACATCACTTGAAATGATGTGAGTACTTTGTTTGGTTAGAGAATGAGTGGGCTGATAGTGTGGTGCAGTGTGGCAGAAACAGTGCCGCCAGTCACTTCAGTTCCAGCTGTGTCCAAATGACTTGTACTGCTATATAGGAACCACAGGAGCATCAGGTCCTTGTTTGGTTCCTAGCTCCTATAAGTGTAGCAATTCATCTTTTACTGGAGTCCGTTGGAGTTTGCAGCAATCCAAGGCAGATCAGGTTCCCTAACTGGTTCTTGTTAGAAAGTTTGTTAGATCATCAAAACATAAGGTAAGAATATTTAAGATCTACCATACTCTAACCCCAGCCGGTTCCTGATATTCGTCCTTCTCTTAACTATTTCTGTTAGCTCTCATAGAGCATAATTGAGATGGGTGTGACTAACTGTACATACCTCTGTTACAATTGAAGGTATCTCAAAATGCTTATATTTCTCTGCTTGAAGTGTAAATACTGTTAATCTTCATTAACTGGGTACCTCGTACCCTTCATCATGTTGCTTCTTTTACTTGCTGAAACTTGTGTCTACCTTCCGATTCACTTATTCCTTTTTATCGTAAGAGTGGATAGACATTCTTGCCTAAGGGATCCTTATCAAGAAACTTACACGTCTTAGTACACGCATTATCTGCTGAATACCTCATTTTTATCCATCATAAGCATGATGCAATAATCGATTTTCTCTGACTCAAATCTTCCACAGCTATATCTCTTACCAACCGTCTTTCTGGATGTAGGCATCGTCGTATTATGAATAAGATAGAGTTAGGATATGGAGTTCTTACAATTGAGCTCTATCACACGATCTAGAGTAAGAAGAAAGAGTGACAGTCCTAAATGCCCTATAGCCTCATGCTTATAAGTGTGGTGCACGACACACCCATAAACAAGACTCTACTAGACACGACTGATAGACTCCCTAGGACAGAACTGCTCTGATACCACTTTTGTCACGACCCAAACCGATAAGCCGTGACGGGCACCCGGTACCTTACTCAACCGAGTACCAACATAACGTATCTTTTCATGTCATACTATCATAGATAACTGAGCCGGAAGGCTGCCGTGAAATAAGTAGAATACAACATGTAATACCAACTTATACATAAGACATACAGGCCTATAAGACCAAAATAACCACTCGTACACTGAACATAGGCTGACAAGGCCATACAATCTTTTACGTATATGACATATGTCTACAAGCCTCTAAGAATACATAATTTTAATAAAGGTCGGGATAGAGTCCCGCCATACTAAACAATACACGTCTAAATCATACTAACCAAACAAGCAACTCCGAAGCAAATGGAGCGCACCAGCACCTTCCGCTGAGCTGATAGCCTACTTGGAGGGCTCTCGACCTGTCTATCGGGACATGCTGGCATGAAACACAGCGTCCCCAGGCAAAAGGGACGTCAGTACAAATAATGTACCGAGTATGTAAGGAATGAAAATCAGTAAATAATAGACATGAGAGGAACATGGAGTAAAAAGACTCTACATGTAAGTCTGAATAACTCTATAAATCATGAAATACTTATAGTGTCATACATATGCGTATGAATGTCATGTCGTGCATAGGTACATATGTTCATAACATCATCAAGCCTCTAAGGGCATCCCATCATATCATCTCGGCCACTGTGGGCAAAATCATCAACGTATACCAGCTGATCAAGTGGTGGTGCGTATATAACGACGTAACCTTTTCCCATATCCCATATACATATATATATGCGTATATAAAGCCATCTAGTCATGGGTCAATGTACATGTATAAATGCATGAAATGCATAAGAAATACGTTAATAAGATTTCTCAGAATGTCACAAAAATAATATGCATGTCGGATAAACTTGATCAAATACGTATTTTTCTGAAACCCATGAACAGAAGATATAATAATAATTCACGTGGGGAATCAAGAATATAGACATTCCTAGTATTTCTATGAATAGAGTCATTTATGAAAGTTGTGCATTTGCTTGTTTCGTTTGCATCGTATTGATCATGCCAAAAGAAAGAAGGGATAGCCTTAATATACCTGAGTCGATTCTCTTGACAATCCTCTAACACACGTTAATTGCGACAAAACACGGAACAAGTCGTATGAAAAGCTCGAAGCAATCACGTTGCTATGCAAAGAAAATCTTGGCAGAAACTTTTCCTTAAGCACTTAGCAATACGTTGCTATGTAAAGAGATTTTGGAGAATGATCTTTTGTTGAACTCTTTCCTTAAGAGAATAGAAATAACATTTAGAAAGAATAAGGAATCTTGGCTGAACTCTTTAACGTTACTATGTTCCTTTTCTTAAGAGATTGGAAGAGAATTAAGTATTTTATCCTTGATTATTAGGTGGGCCCACATCTCTAGCTTAATGGCACCTAATTCCTTCAGGTGTGACACATCTACATCTCTTGCAAGAGTCATCAAATGACAAAGGAGAGGTGCTGCCACGTTAGTCTTAGCTTGGTCTTATCCAAGATTATTAATTAATTACCCTCTAATTTTCATTAACTTGCTAATTTCCCCCATTAACTAATATTTCACATAGTTAAGAATTATCTCGAATTACTTAAAATACTACTCTTAATATATTTTATGTACCCTACTATCGTGGTCATGGGGTACGTTGTATGACATAAGTCCATAAATGCCAGGTACTGAAGCTCAAACATTATTTTATCCAAATTGACAACCTTCAACGAAACTTATTTTCTTTGATTCGTTTACCCTTTATCCTTCACGGCACTTACTTATCGTGTGTTATAAATAGCATAAATGTGTGTACCCTCAAGATAATCTCATTCCCGAGTCTACGTCGATTAACTAAAGACGAAATTTTATTGTACGAAAATGCGGGATGTAACATCTCTTTTCCGAGCTTCCACTAATTTATTTATGGCGAACTTTCACGTACAAAAACATGGGGTGTAACAGGAACTCACCAAACAGATCGAATCAGGAGAAAAGAAAATTGAGGCTAACAATAAAAAGGTAGAAACATACAACTCACGGGTTGATCAAATATCTGGGCACCACCGATTTTAAAGGGTTTGGATTCGAAGAATTTGTACAGAAGCCTTTCCTACCAAGTGCGGCTCCGAAGCCCATTTCGAAGAAATTCCGCATGCCAGAAATTCCCAAGTACAATGGAACCACTGATCCTAATGAGTATGTCACTTCTTATTCATGTGCAATAAAAGGCAATGAGTTAGAAGATGATGAAACTGAATCTGTTCTGTTGAAAAAAATTGGAGAAACTTTATCGAAGGGGGAAATGATATTGTACCACAATTTGCCGCCCAATTCCATCGATTCCTTTGCCATGCTTGCTGATTCGTTCGTAAAGGAACACGCTGGAGCAATAAAGGCCGTGACTAGGAAATCAGACCTCTTCAAAGTAAGACAAAAGGACAACGAAATACTAAGGGAATTCGTATCTCGGTTCCAGATGGAACGCATGGACCTATCACCGGTCACGAATGATTGGGCTGTCCAACCCTTCACTCAAGGTTTGAATGAGCGAAGTTCGGTAGCATCATGACCACTAAAGTAGAATTTGATTGAATATACGTCTGTGACTTGGGCCGATGTGCGTAATCGGTACCAGTCAAAGATCCGAGTCGAGGATGATCAGTTAGGTGCCCCTTCCGGTTCTGTTTATCCAAATAGATCCAAAGGCAGGATTCAAAGAGACATCGAAAGAGAGCCCCGATCAAACAGAGATCGGTACCAACCATACAGCGCAGATCATAGAAACAGTGGACCAGGACGTAATCCCGTTCGGAATGATCGAGTACAAAACTCCCGAGGGCTCATGAGTAAGACTGGCTTCGATAAACATGTCGAGCCCAAGGAAGCGCCACAGTTATCGGAATACAACTTCAGCGTCGATGCATCGGGCATTGTATCAGCTATTGGACGGATCAAAGATACTAGATGGCCCAGAACCCTACAATCTGACCTGACTCAAAGAAACCCCAACCAAATATTCAAATACCATGGAACCCATGGTCACAAAATCGAAGACTGCAGGCAATTGAGGGAGGAGGTTGCTCGTTTATTCAACGAAGGTCATCTTCGAGAATTCTTGAGTGACCGAGCTAAAAATCATTTCAGAGACAGGGATGCAAACAGGAGGAACCACAGCACGTGATTCATATGATCATTGGTGGGGTCGATACTCCTCAAGGCCCGATATTAAACGCACCAAAGTTACAATCACAAGGGAGAAGCGTACCTGGGACTACTTACCAGAAGATACCTAATCTTTGAACGATGAGGATGCAGAAGGGATTGAACAGCCTCACAACGACGTACTGGTAGTTTCTATCCTTATTAAAAAAATTCAAGTTAAATGTGTTTTGGTTGATCTAGGTAGCTCGACAAACATTATTCGATCGAGGGTCATAGGGCAACTTGGCCTCTAGGATCAAGTCGTGCCTGCAGCTCGAGTACTCAATGGTTTCAACATGGCGAGTGAAACCACCAAAGGGGAAATCATTTTTCCAGTAAACGTGGTCGGAACTATCCAGGAAACGATGTTCCATGTATCGAAGGATGATATGAGGTACAATGCACTACTCGGAAGAACTTAGATCCATAATATGAGGGCAGTACCTTCGACGCATCATCAAGTCTTGAAATTCCCAACACCGGAAGGAATCAAAATGGTGTACGGCGAACAACAGCGGCCAAAGATATGTTTGTAACTGATGAGGTAATACCAGTATCGGCACTAGAATCAACAAAGGGACCAGAATCAAAGGAAAAGCAGGAAGCCAAATAACAACCACAGTCGTCGGCCTCCACCAGATCGGAACAACAAGAAATTATCGAGGATGATGATTATATGATACCTCAAACCTTCGTTATCCCCGATGATTCTGATGCCACGAAGTCAACTGTTGAAGAGTTGGAACAAGTCACTCTGATCGAGCATCTGCCCGATCAAAAGGTATACCTGGGCACGGGGTTAACTCCCGAGCTCAGGAAAAATTCATTACATTCCTTATTGAAAATATAGATTGTTTTGCTTGGTCCACCTTGACATGACAGGGATCCCACCGGAGATTACCACTCATCGATTGAGCTTGGACCCAAAGTTGAGACCGGTAATGCAAAAGAGAATACCTCAGTCTGAGGTAAAGCTTGCATTCATCAAGGATGAGGTAACCAAACTTCTCAAAATAGGATCCATCCGGGAATTAAAATATCCCGAATGGTTAGCAGGCGTAGTTGTAGTCCCCAATAAGGGGAATAAACTTAGAATATGTGTAGACTACAAAGACTTAAACAAAACATGCCCTAAAGACTCTTTTCCTTTGCGAATATCGATCGCATGATCGATGCCACAGCCGGCCACAAGATCCTCATCTTTCTCGATGCCTACTCCGGGTACAACCAAATACAAATGAGCCCGGAGGGTCAGGAAAAGACTTCGTTTATTACTAAGTATGTTACTAATTGCTATAATGTAATACCGTTTGGACTAAAAAATGCTGGTGCTACTTACCAACGCCTAGTAAACCGAATGTTCAAAGAACAAAAAATAAATCAATGGAGGTTTATTTGATAACATGCTAGTTCAATCCCTGCACGCATAGAACCATTTGACACATTTGCAGGAAACATTCAATATATTGAGAAAATACAACATGAAGCTCAACCCCGAGAAATATGCATTCGGGTCAGTTCAGGCAAATTCCTCGGCTTTATGGTGTCAAATCGGGGAATCGAGATCAGCCCCGATAAAATCAAGGCGATCGAAGACATCACAGTTGTGGACAGCGTTAAGGCCGTACAAAGATTAACAGGGCGGATAGCCGCCTCAGGCCGGTTCATCTCGAGGTCTTCGGATCGAAGTCACAGGTTCTTCTCACTGCTAAAAAAGAAGAACAATTTCACTTGGACCCCGGAATGCGAACAGGCGTTAGAAGAGTTAAAGCGGTACCTTTCAAGCCCCCTCATTGCTTCACACTCCAAAAGCGGACGAGCAACTCTACTTATATTTGGCAATCTCGAAAGTTGCGGTAAGTGGTGTCCTAGTTTGAGAAGAGCAAGGTACGCAATTTCCTATTTACTACATAGACGAACTTTAGGTGAATTCGAGACCCGGTACCCACACTTAGAAAAATTAGCACTTGCTCTAATTAGCGCCTCTAGGAAATTAAAATCGTATTGCCAATGTCACCTAATTTGTGTTGTAACCACTCCCCCCCCCCCTTTCGCAACATTTTGTACAAAACCGAACTCTCGGGCCGACTAGCCAAATGGACCATCGAGATTAGCGGGTACGATATTGAGTATCAACCCCGAACAGCCATCAAGTCTCAAATCTTGGCAGACTTCGTGGGCGACTTCACGCAGCCCTCGTGGCCCAGGTCGAAAAGGAACTATTGCTAAAGTCGGGTACATCCTGGGGGTGTGGACCCTTTTCATAGATGGTGCTTCAAATGTGAAGGGATCCGAGCTAGGCATCATTTTGAAGCCGCCCATAGGAAATATAATTAGACAGTCTATTAAAACTTCAAAATTGACTAACAATGAGGCCGAGTAAGAGGCCATGTTTGCAGGTCTCGAGCTGGCTAAGAGCTTGGGAACGGAGGTCATCGAGGCCAAGTGTGACTCCCAACTTGTGGTGAATCAGGTCAACAGGACTTTCAAGGTTCAGGAAGATCAGATGCAAAGGTACTTAGACAAATTATAAGTGTCTCTACATCGATTTAGAGAATGGACGCTACAGCACGTACCTCGGGAACAAATTACCGAAGCCGATGCCCTTGCAAATTTGGGGCCATCGATCGAAGATGATGAACTTAGCTAGGGGACTGTCGTACAACTTTCAAGGTCAGTAATCGAAGAAGGGCACGCCGAAATAAACTCCACAAGCCTAACATAGGATTGGAGGAATAAATATGTCGAGTATCTAAAAAACGGGAAGCTTCCATCGGACACTAAGGAATCGATGACTCTGCGAACGAAGGCTGCACGATTCACATTGGCCGAAGATGGAACATTATACAGAAAGATGTTCGATGGACAATTGGCAATATGTTTGGGTCCGGGAGACACAGACTACGTTCTACGAGAAATTCACGAAGGTACTTGCGGAAACCATTCCGGTGCCAAATCGCTGGTTCACAAAGTCATCAGAGCAGGATACTATTGGATCGATATGAAAAAGGACACTAAGGAATTCATTCGAAAATGTGACTAGTGCCAAAGATATGCGGTGATGATCTACCAACCCGGAGAGTAACTTCACTCAGTCCTATCCCCATGGCCATTCATGAAATGGGGGATGGACATCATCGGTCCTCTGCCATCGGCCCCAGGTAAAGCTAAATTCATTTTATTTATGACCGACTATTTCTCTAAGTAGGTTGAAGCACAGGCTTTCGAGAAAGTCAGAGAAAAAGAAATTATAGACTACATCTGGGATCACATCATATGCCAATTCGAGATACCTGCCGAGATAGTATGCGAAAATGGAAAACAATTTATTGGTAGCAAGGTAACGAAGTTCCTCAAGGATCACAAAATAAAGAGGATATTATCGACGCCGTATCATCCTAGTGGGAACGAACATGCCGAATCAACAAACAAGACCATCATTCAGAATCTAAAGAAAAGATTAAATGACACTAAGGGAAAATGGAGAGAAATCTTACCCAAAGTCCTTTGGGCGTATCGAACAACATCAAAATCTAGTACGAGGGCAACACCGTTCTCCTTAGTTTATGGCACCAAAGCTCTGATCCCGGTCGAGGTAGGGGAACCTAGCGTTAGGTTTCGATACACAACGGAAGAGTCGAATCACGAGGCTATGAACACAAGCCTCGAATTGCTAGATGAAAAATAGGAAGCCGCCCTCGTCAGAATGGCCGCACAAAAGCAGCGCATCAAAAGATACTACAACCGAAGAGCCAATCTTCACCACTTTCGAATCGGGGACTTAGTTCTGAGAAAAGACACCCTCAACACTCGAGACCCAAACGAAGGGAAACACGGCCCGAATTGGAAGGGACCATATCGGGTCCTCGGTGTCATCGAAAAGGGCTCTTACAAACATGGCACAATGGACGGCGAACAATTGCCAAATAATTGGAACATATCACTCCTCAAACAATATTATTGCTAAGGTATGACTTTCTCCCTTTTCATTTGTATTTTTGATACTAACTTAATGCAGGTGTTCAATCGAAGACATCAAGAAGTTCTTCAACACGAAGACCTTAGGTTTTAAAGCACGCGTTGCACTCTTTTTCTCTTAGATCGATTTTTATCCCAAATGGGTTTTTCCGGCGAGGTTTTTAATGAGGCAATAATTATTTGTGCTACCTGTGGACAATTCAACAGTATCCGAGGTTTCTTTACAATCAACCTCGAATACTGGGGGCATCACCCTCGGATGTGATCACTCTCGGATGTTATGCTTTCAAGGAAAATACTTTGTATCATCAAGTCTCGATAGGTAAAAGTTTATAAAGGGACAAGCGGTCAAATGAACCGTGTCCTTGTAGCTTACTCGAGCCCCGATGGCAAAACATGTATGCATGAATGATTTATGGAAAGATATATTTTTTTCCTTACCAGATGTTCCATGCCATAGTGAAATTTCTACTTTACTTATGATCTATTGCGGAAACTGGCTCAAGTAACGATCGCAACTAAAGCTCGAGCTATCAACCCCGTACTCGGGGACTGCTGTCCAAAATCGACATGTTCGAATTATTAAACTTCGAGACAGTAAGACCTTGAAAAGGCAACCCTCGATTTTATAGGCCACGACCACCCCCCTCGGAGACTGACACTTCGAACAAGTTCGTAGTGTAATCGAGAAACAAGCCCAAAGGGAAAATCTCAAGTTAAAGGCTACGGCCAAACTAATACGGTTCGGAGACGTTCGAATTCCGTAATGAAACTGGCCTTCAAATATTTTCATAAATCTGGTTAGAAAAAAGGTCTACCCTCGGCAAAGTTATAAAGGGTTTCGATAACGTCAAACCTCAAAAACCTTAAGGGGTACCAAATTGTTCGAACTCTCAAACAAATGTATGCTAAGGTATAACAAAGTAAAAGGTATTCGATAACACTGAATCCTAATGGATACAGATTTATCTCGCGCTAAGGAATAACAAATTTTTATATGAT